TCGAGTTACCTCATCCTCGAGCTTACCTCCGAGCCCAACCCACCTAGCGTACCATTCTACAGTAAACAATTTTTTACCGTAGTGTACCGAATGTAGATTAAAACTACCGAAGGAAAGCTCAGGCTGAGAAGAATGACCGAAACATTATAATCATCCAGTACTGTGACCTGGCATCCTGTCCACATATTGTTATTGGCTGGTATGGGTGTACATGCAGGTTGTGCATCCTCCGTTCATAGCTACGGTAAAAGTCTTATACGAGCAATGTGTCTCTATTCCGTAAAGATATCTAGTGAGCGGTCAACCCCACTGCCAGATATCTCAGCAATCTCGGGGTGGGGTACCTCGGTCTTTTGTTCGCATGCGAATCCGAGAGGGAGGGCCGGAAGCTGACAGGAATACTCCTTTGGTACGATTCATGGATTCGTGGAAATGCGCCCGTCAACAGATCAAGAAAAGTAGAGTCTTCCTGGAATTGCCATTTTAGCATTCGTGTGCAATTGCGTTGACAAGAATGGTGAGCTCCATCGCATCGTCCTGATCTGCATCCAGTCCAGTCGAGTTAGGAGCAATTGAATAAGCCGAGAAGTTGCATGAAACATGAGGGTCTTCTGGTTTGGTAAGCGCAGGCAAGCGTGCTCGATAATCTGACCATGCAACTAAACACAATTTTCACTTTTGACATCTATAGTTCCGGGGCAAAATCAGGGTACAAAGGGCATGCTACAAGGGACAATCATGGCGAGATATACTGTGTGAACAGCGGGTCTGATCTGTGCTTGATATTAAGGTTTAGTTGCACACTAATATTTGCAGTACAAGTCTACCCAGTTCGATTGATGTATTATCAGTACAGCACGAATGCGGATTGGCATTCTCGTCGCCATTTGTTTGCGTGTTCGAGTATAATTATGCCCCTCTGTATTTGGCTCTATCCTACGTAATGCTCTGTATACCATAGGACCTGTATATCCAAAGCTTCGAGCTGCTTTTTCCAGTATGCGATTGTATGCGTATGTGTAGTTTCAGGGGCCGATCTCGAGGAGCATTCCTATGAAAACGTGGTCAATTTCGGGACAAGACAGTCAGGCAGCCTACCTACTTGGCAGGATACTAATAATCTGGATTATTCCCATGTGATGGTGTACAAGATCAGACTCACACTATGTTTGGTAAGACCCCTCGGGATTCCAATCCCACCATCTTTGCGATCTTTGCGATTCGAAGCTGGTGTTTGTGACTCAGCCCAATGTTCAGAGGGGCGTGCGAGGATGAGTGAGCGCAGTTTACCAAGATCACCTTCGCTTCTTCTTGTCCAAACATGGCACATGACATTAATTGCGTCTGACGGGGCTTTAGGCTTGATTTGAAATGTTTCGATGTCGTCAATTAGATCGTATAGCACCAGAACTTCAGACGGTAGATTCGGCCAATCGAGCTTCAAAATTTTGATTTCCGCCTGACTTTTTACGATTCGCCCAAGGGCTATCAATAGGCCAGGGGTTGGTTCCTGTGCGTAGTATATGGAGATCTCTCTCAAGGTCTTATGACCACGTAGAGCGGTCAGAATATCAGCCGCCAGGAGCAATTCTGATGAATCATCTTCGAGTGCCTCAGTTGGTGAAAACAAGCCATGGAGATTCGTGGCCCAGGTCAAGTTATCAGAACTTGACTTTGTAAAACAAGAAGATTGGCTGGGATGAGAGTTCAAAGAGGTCGCTAAGGCCTGATGGGAAGTCAACGACAGACTTTGGAGATGTTCCAAGCTATTGAGAATGTCCACAGTCGCCACTAGCGAAGATGCTGACACGCCGTCGAATGCAAAGTGTCTTAGGTGTCTGAATCCTGCAAGGTACTCTAGATTTTGATGGACCATATTGCCCTCGGTCTCGAATTCGACAAGCATAGGGTAGACATTGCTAAGCAGCTTCAAGACTCTAGCCAGAAATTCACGATACAAGAAAGACTGGCGATCGGGCAATACTCGGAGCGTGAGATTCGAGACCTTTGGGATCTTCTCAAAGGACCCACGGATCTTCGCAAGCTCTGCCTCATAGACCTCAAATGTGAGTAGCCGAGATGAAGAAGCAGTCATGTCTAGGCCAAGATCCTTCTGCAGTAGAGGCCGTAGATTGACATCTCTTATGAACACGGAGATGTCAGTGACCTGTGAACAATGTTCTGATGAAGTCAATGTCAACCAGTCGTATAGGCAGTCTTGACTGTGAAATACCAGCGGCCGCTGATAGAGAAACTTCTGAGCTTCTGTGTTGATCTCTTTACAGGTCTGGAGCAGATCAAACCTTCGCGTTGATGCTAGAAGAACCTCTTTGTAGATCAGCTCCCGGAGTTCCAATGGCAAAGTGAGCAGAGATGTGGCATTTCCATGCAAGGCCATCACGCGCCCGCGCAATTGCGACACAGTAACGGTCGAATGGTAGAAATCCCTGGGTTGCTGGCAGTCTTCGTGATTTGGTTGATAAAAGCGCTGTCACCTACTGAGGACGTGAGTGACCTGCTCAAGACCAACAGAAATGGCTTGCCGACTGCGAAAGAGAGTCTTACATGAATGAATTTCACGTGGGGCAAATTCGGGCCGTTAAAGTCAGGCGTAATCCTTCTCGGATACCCGATGATACTTGACCCATAAAGGATGATATTTTGTTCCAAACTTGACATTGACCAAAGAGTTGTGAGATGACAAAAACCACTAAGATCTTTGCATGTAGGTTATGGGGTCTTGCATGTCCATAACATACTTGAAACAGTGTAGCACTGACCCTATATTCGATCACTTTTATACAGTCAGCTGCACTCTTCATTGGAATTCGTCATAGCACATATCGAAGAGGCTGGTCCAGTCTGATTTTGAGCGCAGCACACATCCTCGCCTAGGGCTAATAGGGCTAACAGATGATCCGTGTTGAATAGCCATCCACTTTGCGATTCGTTGATGTTAAATCGTGCACTGATCCCGGTGTAACACCTGCATTGGTTGAGGGGAACACCTTGCGCCAGACACGTTCGGTAGCCAACCGAGCCAAGTAGAGTTTTTTCAGAATTACGGACGCTATCAGGCGCGGTGAATGTTGCCGACCAAGAAAAAGCAATTCATGGTGCCACAGCCCCGAGTCAACCACGTGGGAAATTACTTACTTTTGGCCACATCAGGGCTTGTAGGTCATTCTGAGCATATTCCTAATCCGTTCTGGGATGCCAACTCACTTTGGCTGAAGCCCGAACTTCGCCGGCATAATTGAACCAGTGGAGCAATCCCAGGCCTTCGCCCTTGTTCAATAGATCAGATCAGATCATTCCATGGAGTTTTGAGTGACACGACATATCTATCCGTTTCAAGTCGGTCTACTCACACCAAATTTGCATTGGTAGATAAATCATACGATGAATGACACCATATGCTTTACCTGTCCGGGCACTGCGGAGTTGATGGATATGTTGTCGGGAAAGGAAACTCGATTTTCGCGCCCTGTAGCCACTAAGGCTGAGGAATTGGCCGTCACCTATCTGTTCATATGTGCATGTACTCGATTTTATCTCATCTGCATCAGGCTTTTCTCGACCTGAGAAAGCTTAGCTGAGACAAAGACTTGTGAAGTGTAGCGAATGCTTCATGTGAGCACAAATTGTCTTTACCCTCAAAAATAGACGACTTTGAATTTGTTGATTGTGATTTGATCGCAGAGCTAATAGGTAAGTCTCGCCCTTTGGACGAGGCTTTTCGACGCGTATGTCTGCCAAATCTGCCATGGACGACATGTAGGCAGTCAAAGAGATGGGACACCGATCGCTGCTTTACGCCAGACCTCGTGGTTCTGCAAGCCATGGGTGTACTCCTATAACGGGTAAATGGTGAGCAGCTGGATATACCTACCTAGCTGACATGTAGTAGGGGATTTGGAGGGCGTCAACTGCCGCAATCATGCACATTTACGTCGGCGTGCCTTGCTTCTGCCATGTTCGAAGGGTAAAAGTCCAAGAAGAATGACGCCTCGATCATACGATTAGTGGTCATTGGAACATGGTGCCTCTCAACTTCTGAGGGAGCTGTGCAGTCGTTGGTGAGGCGTGAAGGCAGTGCCCTTAGCCGAGCGTGCTGCAGATTGTACGGTGGTAGTCCGTGCGCGCCTGCGACTTGCCACCGCTGGCCTGGCCTAGATCTCACCACCAACAGGTCCAGTCCAGATCCCACAACTATCATTCCTACTCTATGCGGACAGCAAGCATCGTGCTTAACTCTCGATTCTAATTTTTTTGAATACTATGAGCTTGTCTCTCAAGGTCAAATTCGTGATAAAACCCACTGTAAGAGAGCCGGTTTGTGGCCTCCCTGTCCCTACCTACCTAGCTATCTGCCATTGTGCTTCACCTGGGATGGACTACGCCACATCATTCGACGGGCTCCTTACTGACGTTCCAAACAGCAACACTGTGACTATTGGGCGTCCTACATTAGTCTAGCTGACGAATGTGCATAATTGTACCTTGTGATACTGCCTCCAGCACAGTATAGCATCTACTCTAGCAAAAGTACTTCTTATCGCATGACGTAAACCAACCTATCAATTCACACGCAAGTTACAGTATCAATGCAACAATTTATTCGAGCTAATGGAACATAGCCAAAAAGTTGAATCATCGCCAGTTTGACAAGGTTGACGTAACAGTCATTATCTCACATCTTCCCAGAAAAGGCATAGCTCTTGTTGATGTATTGCATGCAACTACTGGTCGACATTTTTATGAAAGCGACAACAGTTTGTTGCGGCGCTACTGATGGCTGATTTCATTTGTTTCAACCCAATACGATTGGAGCACTCCCTGGAAGCCTTGGACCTAGACTTCATCATCCGACAGCCTAGTCCATGATGTGGCTTCCACACGGGAAACAGTCGCCCTGAAGCAATATAGCCACTTCAAATGCAACGTCACAAATACATAAGAGAAGGCAAACAGAGCGCTTGGAGCGTTACTATTGGAGTGAGTGGCACAGCTCAGTGTCACTCTCTCCGCTTTCCACAGAGCATTTCACCTCAAGCATTCTTCATCCTCGGCCACGTTCCATAATGATCTTTTATTTGATGCAAGAAATTTCCGCTCAAATCACTCACTTTGGCTTCTGTTGCGCATGCAGAGATCCGACGACCACGAAGCAAGACCATAAGGAACATCCAAGATTATCGTCAAGGCGTCATATATCAGTCCGGCACCCGCTCTACCCGGGTTATGGTCAAGGTATACCAAGGCGAACCCGTTTTCGTACTTCAGGCGCAATGTCGATCACCAAATCTCCTGTCACACAGATCTAAGCCCAGAAGCACACATCTGCGAGGCGATCAGGACAGCATCGCATGCGATCCGTCATCTCATGTAAGGCTGCTTACTAGTTATACGGCATACGGCTTTTGTTGTAGTACACCGCGCTTGGTGGATGTTGCACCACGGCAGTCGCGCGGCAGTTGAACAATGGTATGCATGTGAAATGTGCTCGCAATTGTATCCGATTCCAGCAAAGTGGACTCCCAACGCATGCCACGCTCTTGGGACACGACTTGAGAGCCACTTCGACGGGATTGACATCACCAGTAACACTAGCTGCAGACCTCTGCATGCTGATTGTAGGTAGTCAGTAATCAAACCACAGTGGCCTGTTATACGGTTATACGCAGCTCTAAATCCAACAGTCAAGAGGCCTCGTCAATATTACACTGGCAATATCTCGCTTTCTGCAAAGAATATTCGAAGCCTGGATATCGGAAAAAGCACGTCTTGTAGCCCTGAATACGCCATGTGAAGTAGTCCATCCCCCACTGAGAATCCCAATCCCTTCCCTTCTTCCATGGTCATCCCAAAGTTGCTGTGCATGGCACATCCCCCAGCGTCACACTATACCTTGCACTTCTAATGAAATCCCCGCCTAGCGCACCAGAACTAGCTTCTTTTAATACCGCCGTCACTGTGTTGAGCCTAATGTACCTCTCTAAACGGGTCGTAGAGTACATATCTCTACACCTCGCAGATCATACCCCCCCCCCCCCCCCCAACCCAAAACCCACCCTTCTCCCCCTCCCAAATTAGGGGACACCCCCAACAAAGAAAATCCAATCCCACTGCATCCCCCAAAACTCCAATCTTGGAAA